TACAAAATTACCACAGTGCATTACAATTTTACATTTAATTTCTAACAGGTTCTTGCATCGTCTACGGTCTTTTTCTAAAGAAGATCTTCATATACGTTTAATCATCTCGTGGGGTATTTTTCATGTTATATTCCTATCATTTAAGTTAGGCTTAGTAAATTAGCTTACTTAATTAATTTAAGTTATTTTGTAAGTGGACTAGGGCTGTACTCAATTTGTACGGCGACACCACATTAAAAAAAGCGCGCCTGGCAACTATACCTCCTGGGTGGTGTGGAAAATAGTTGCATCTTATTGTTAGCTATAAGTATAATAATTATCAATTTAATTATTTTATTAATTATATTTAATTAATATATAAATGTGTAATGAAAATCTTTGTTTTTCAATCTGAAAATCTTCAATTTTTTTCAGGTAAAATTATTATTTAATAAATAATTTAACTTTTTTCTAAACTATATTACGTTTTGAACAAATGTATGGTTTGGATAATATCATTATTATGGATTATACTATTATGTCCAATTGTATTTTTCCCTCATTTTTTATTTTGAATTTTTATTTTACTAATATAGAACTAACCTGATTTTTAGTACTTGTAACATATGTTACTATTACTAATAGGAATATTATAATTGGACATAATATTATAATCCATACTAATATGATATTATCGATTTTGCAATATTTTGTCATAAAATATTGGTTCGATACCATAAAAATATCAGCGTTCCATTGCTGCATATTTTCATCACATAATTATTGAATAGTTACTGATGATTTAATTATTTAAATGCAAATTTAAATTGAAACTTATTCAAAAGTTAGTTTAATAATTTGCTTGCTTTCTTATGCTGAGATTAGTCATAAGAAAAAGTTATTTGCCATAGTAACCGGTATGCCAAAATAAATGATAGAGTATATTCTGAACCTTTTTAATTAATCTAATCTTGTAAAAATTTAATTATTGAAAATGCACTTTAGTATGAATTTATAAAATGTGTTAATGGTTATTTACAAATTTCAACATTTTTATACATATTTATATTTATAAATAGCTTGTTTTTAATAAATAAATTTATTCACCTTACATTGATTGTCTATTACAAAATTAATGATACTCTTAAGCTATATGTTATTTACAATTTCAAGATACAATAATGAAAATCCTAAATTTTAATTTCTCGTTTACTATGGATATTTATTTAGAATTTTTTTTACCCATAGAATATAGGAATAAAAATCTTGAACTAGAATTTATTTCGATTTTTTTAAAATTTATTATCCTTAGCTTTAAATTTTATTCCATCTTAATTTTTTAAAAAGTTTTTTTTACAGGATTGTATATCAAGCAAATGTTTAAAAAATATCAATCTATGAAAGACGTCAGTATAATTTTATCACATAAATTATTTATAATATAGCAAATTAATTCAAAATGTTCTAAAGTAACTTTCAATTCTGTTTTCTTTTGTTATTTATATTTATTTAAAACAGCATTTTGATTTTACTTGAATAGAAATCTTACGTAATTTTTTTTTATCGTAGGTCATTTTACAGACAATATTATCTAGTTTAACGTGGAAGGCCGAAATTACTGCAGCAGTGAAGGACCTTTTTTTTCGCGCCATTGGAGATCGACCATAACTTAAAAAATATTTTTTTTCTTTAAAAATATTACTATGTATTCTTAAAACATGTGTAAATATATTCCTGAAATTTTGAAATGATTGATAAAGTATTTTTTTTAATATAAATTCCCAAAAATCACCTTTTTCAGGCGGTTACACTAGTTGTGCCCATTAAAAATGTAAAGTTTAGCCGTTTTCGAGTTTTAGCGGATCATTTCATCGAGAGCTCCACTTATATATAAGATAATATATATATATATATATATATATATATATATATATATATATATGATTTGTATTTTTCCTTTTAGTTAGTAAATTGCGTAGTTCAAGAAAGCTTTTGAGTCCTGCATTTAATATGAAGTTGCTAGAAGGATTTGCTCTGGTTTTCCAGCAACAAAAGAGGGTAAAAATATAAAAGTAAATAAATAAAAGAGATTATTTTTATTGTAACAGTATAAAAATGAAAATTTAAGATAAATGTCATAAATAATATTTTGTATTGTGTTTAGTTACATCACTAGAAGTGAACTTTGAAAATGATTTATATCCAATTTATTCTTTACAAACTTGTTTGAAAATTTGGAATCTTTTAAAAATGATTGAAAGTTCCGGAAGGAGTTTTTAGATTAAAGCCTGATAGATACGTTATATTTAGGATCTTATTTACGAAAATCAATTATTGGACG